TCCCGACTCCTTGCAAAATCAATGCAATCCCCAGGCAAATAATTTTCAGGGCAAAATAATCTGGCCCTAGTCATAAAGCTGTAGTACGTATCCAGTGTGTTAGTAACAACCTGTCTGGGTTTGCCTATCATGCTCTTCCTTACCTCCTCGCTGTCCAGTAACATAGAATTAGAAAGGATCTATGCACATCTCTAAGGAGGAATGCTTGCTCACAAGTCTTCATTGAGGGCCCTTCCTCCCTTGGGCACCTGTGCCAGGCCTAATCACAGTGTGATGGGCTATCCCCCCCGGCGTGTAACCTAGAACTGGGGTAACGCTGAACCCTCTGACTCACCAGCCTGGGCTCCCTCTCACACTGTGCTGCTGTGACAAGCTGCAGACCGCTTCTGTGCTTCCACCCAGCATTCACATAAGCAAGGATACACCCAGCTGCAATTACATGAATACTTCTCCTCAGCCACTCATGAACTAACAATAGAGGCTCCAGCTTCCCCCACGCCCTCCAAATTCCACAGCCTAGGACCCCAGTGCTGTACTATCCTGCCCTGGTTAAAAGCCTGACAAATATACATTTGTTTCCCCATCTGCCCCTCCCTTGATGTGGAGAGGACAATGCACCAGCCCCCTTTCCTAACCAGATTTCCTTTTGCACTTCATACACCACACTGTTTTAGGTAAAAACATAAAACAGGTTTATTAACTACAGAATGATCTGTTTGCTATTACTTATAATCACTTAAAAATCTAAGATGGTGTAGCAGAGCGAAGAATCACCAGCGCAGCACCTCCTGCTGGTCATTTGGGAATTAACTTGTCCAGTACTTGGAGCACCTCCTGGTGGTCAGTGTCCCTCCTGGACCCCAGTGCCCCTTACCCTGGGGTTCTGCCCACTGCAGTACTCCCCCCCCCACGCTGGGTCTCCCCTCCCAAGGGAACCCTCAACCCTTTACACCCACCTTGCCCCAGTAGGTGCTGCCAGTCATTATCTAGCCCCCTCTCACTGGGGCAAACTGCAATCTGTAAATGCCATTCATCATTGGCAAGGGGGTTGGACCAGTTGCCTCTGCCTATTCCCAGGCCCAGTACCTGCATAGGCCTCTATTAAGGTCTCAGCCTGGGGAGTTGCCAGGCTGGAGCTCCCCAGCTCCTTTTGCCCTTCCCCAGCATTACTCTGTTTCAGGTACTATATTCCCAGGCAGCTAAGTCCTTCTCCCTCCAAGGCTGGCAAGAGACTATGACCCAGCGCCTTCCTAAGGCCGTCTTATACTCCCAGCCTGGCCCTGATTGGCTGCCTCAAGCCTGCTCCTGATTGGCTCCCTGGGGCAGCCCTTCCCAGGGCTGTTTTTAACCCCTTCCACACCAGAGCAGGGTGACTGCCCCACTACAGGTGGTTACCTAAGAAATAAACAAAATTGCAATCTAAGACACATACAGTAGATAGGATTTTGAATCAAGCAGTGTCTCACCCTATTAGATAGTACAAACAGTCCCCCAAGCTTCCATACACAGGCAGACTTCCTTCTTTCCTGCCTGGGACCCCGCTTTCCCAGTTCAGTCTTTGTTCCAGGTATTATGTTGTGTGGGGAGTGAGGTCTCTTGGCGATGTCACTTCCCCCTTTTATAGCTTATTCCATATGGTGGGAATCCCTTTGCACCAAGGCAAGTTCCCAGCCCAGTTTGTGGAAAAATATAGGTACCAAAATGGAGTTCAGTATAATGTGATCTAGTCTCAAGCCCTTGCATGCTCTGAGTCATGGCAGCCATTATCCATAGGCTGACTGAAGTGTTCACAGGTGAGGATAACTCTTCCATGGCCCATTGCCTTGTTGACGGGATATTCAACTTGAATAGGCCATTCATAATGTGCTGGCTAGACTGTATGTAAAACTTTGTGGGCGCTACTCAGGTGCAAGCACATTTGAAATATAGATATAGTCAATATTCATAACTCCAGATACAAAAATGATACTTTCATACAAATAGGATAATCGTATTCAGCAATCCATAACTTTTCCATTGATACCGGACATGACATACTTTGTATGAGGATGCGTCATAATTATGCCCAGCAAGTCACAGGTGTCACCATGACCCTGGCACCACGCAACGCTAAACAGATCAACATGGTTTGGAGTGTTGAGTGCAGAGACCTCAGCCAGCTTAGTATATAGCAACAGCCACCATTACAACTCTCCGCTTTTATTAAAGATACAGAAAGAAGGAAAAATAGTTAAAGCATTAGTAATGTAAAGTATTAACGCTTCCATTTTAACAAAATCCATGTTCCCTTTTGCTCTAGAGTTTTTATAGGGTCTCCCCCCGTTTGATAGACCATTAGATGGTTTTAAAGATGGTAATGACTGTCCTACTGGGGGGAGGAGGGTGTAGGCTTGCATGGCTGTCCCTCACTGCACTGTCACGCACCTGCAATGACAGCGTGTACAGGGGTAAATTAGCTGTCTCTAGGGCTTAAACCCTCAGGTAGGGTAAAGCAGTGAACAGTTCAGGGGCCCAGGCCCTTAGGCAGGGCAGAGCACCAAGCAGACTAGAACTCCAACCCTCAAGCAGGGTAGAGCAGGTAAGGGTCTAGGAGCCTGGCCTTCAGGCAGGGCTGAGTGCCCCAACAAAGTCTATAGGGCTCTGGCAAAGGGGGGAGCACCCCAAAACAGTCTAGGGGGCTCCAGCAAAGGGTGTGCCCAGTAAGTGTAGTCTCCTAACCTAAGGCGTGGGGGGGGGGGGGGGGAGAGTACTGCCACCCAGGGGAGGAGTGATAGGGGAGACACAGGCCCACCCCACTCCACTGCATCCCAGCCCAGGGCCCTAACAGTAGCAGAGGGGCCCACCACTGGGCCAGCGGGGAATCCACCTGCAATATGCTGACCATGTCTCTGGCGGCACCACAGCCAGACAGTAGTCTGGTTCCCCTTGACTGCTTCTTATACTCCCCCTCAGGTATATCTTCCAAGGGTCAGCCTCTATCTCCCCAGGGTACACTGTGAGCAGCAGTCCAAGCAACTCTTCAGCATCCAGCATGTTTGGCCATACGGGTAACTCAGGGCCATCCTTGGGACAGCAGAAGACTTCTGTGGGCTCCTGCATCCACAGCAGGGAGAATGCATCTGTCTCCCTTGGCAGCTGCTCCCCAACTAAGCTACAGGGCCCACCTTTTATACTTCCTGTTTCTGTCCCGCCCCTCTGCTTCCAACATGGAGAGTGTTGCCTTCCAGATTCTGCCCACTAGGGGGTGTCTGTCCACTCCTCACTGTCAATCTCCAAGGGTGGCCACGCCGCTTCGCTACAGGGAGAAAGAGAACTAGTTAGTTGTGGTGTTCTGGAGCTGTCACCTGCATTTCACAGGCAGACTTTGCACCTCCAGAACACCCCTTAACTACACCTGTAATTCACCTCCATGGTGTCAGGGATAAGCTGATTCCTCTTTCACACTCAGATCTTAAGTAAGTCCCAGTTTTTATGTTGAGAAAATGCAAGGGAATAGTTTTTGCTTCAGAAAGAACTTGGGACAGCTGGTCTGCTCTATAGACATTTGGAGAATAGAGTCACCTCATGGTTGTCTCTAGCTTCCTGGAAGCTGCCAGCAGGGACTCCTGGAGCAGCAGAGAGTTGTGGTTAGTGGTACCCAATGGAGTGGACAAGGAAGCTGGCTCCATTTCATTTGTCTCATCCACTAGAGAGCTTCACAAACCTGTTGTGGATAGAGAACAAACACCATTCCAGGCTGTCAGAGCCCCGGAGAAGAATCCCTCTTCAGTCTCCCTGTCATCAGCAGTAACATTTGTCCTGCTGCTGGGAAGTCACTTGGCACTTGTTGCTTTCCCATTAGCCAACTGGCTTTGACAACATGGTAATCCTCTCTGAAAAATGTAAACTCTCCTAACTCATGCTGGGGGATGCCCAGGAAATCAATATCAAACTTTGGTGACTTGTGATTAAATTCCAACTCCAGGACCCTGCGTGATGCTCCCAGTAACTGCTGTATTGTTTGTCTATTCCATACACGTGTATGGTGCTGCACTTACAACCTTGTCAGAACAGCACATTCTCAGTATGCACCATGAGCCAATGAGATCAGCAACACTGACAAGACCCTTACTGCATATGAACCCTGAGGTGACATGAGGAAGGCGCTGGGATAGAATTAAATACAGTAACAAGGGAAACATAGTTCCTTAAAATAGATCAGAAACTCCAGAGCAAAGTGACTCTGGCAGCTTGATTACAGGATAAATATCACTTGTAAAATGGGTCATGGAATTCAGCGCTGCTATTCAGTGAGATCATTTAGACCCAACTGCCTGAATGCCCCAAGGACAAGCCTTTCTTGATGAGCAGTACAACTTGGGTGTCTAGTTAATGGAGCCCCTGTGATTCTTTATATTAAAAGAGGAATTTAAAAGACCTGCAATCAGCCTTGTTAACTTTCAGAGCAGTGCGTGCACTGCCCTTCTTTTATTTTTCTGTTTTGTAATAGTCTTTTCCCAGAAGTCCCAAAATACATGACTGCATACAAGGGAATGGAGTACAAAGCATATAATCATAAACCCAGTAATACACAGCACCGGATTAACGCAGGGGCTTTAGCGGCTGCAGCCCTGGGCCTCAGGCTAAGGGGGGGGCCCTGCAAAAATAAATCCATAATTCAGTGGTCACCATCCTGTGATTGTGATTAACTGGTTAAGCCTGGGGCCTCTGCCAGTTGACTGCGATCTCCGGGCTGCTAAAAGACCAGCAGCGCAGCAGGGCTCAGGTAGGCTGCCTGCCTGCCATAGCTTCACCCCGCTCCTGGAAGCAGCCAGCTCCTGGCACGTCTCTGCAGCCCCTGGCGGGGGAGGAGGAGGCAGCTCCACATGCTGCTCCCAGCACCGTCCCCAAGGCTCCCGTTGGCCGGGAACCAGCCAATGGGAGCTGTGGGGTCAGCGCTTGCGAGGGCTGGCAGCGTATGGAGACATGCTGTCTGCCTCCCCAGGGGTGTACAGAGATGTGCCAGCAGCCGGCTGCTTCCGGGAGTGGTGTGGGGCTATGGTAGGCAGCCAGCCTACCTGAGCCCTGCTGTGCTGCCAGCTGGGAGCCACCTGTGGTAAGTGCCTCCTGGCCGGAGCCTGCACCTCGCACCCCCTCCTGCACCCTAACCCCCTGCCCCCCAGATCAGAATCCCCTCCTGCACCCAAACTCCTTCCCAGACCCCACACCCCCTCCTGTATCCCAACCCCCTGCCCCAGGTCAGAATCCCCTCCTACACGTCCTTGTTTAGGAAGGCAGAGAGTAATTACTGGGGCTAAAATTACCCAAGATAGACATGCCCTTTAAGAACCTCCCACTGCACAGGGACTACAAGAACCAATCATACAGTTCCACATTAGACATTATTAGTTAAATTGAGGAAGATGAGGATTTATATGAGAATTGAAAGGTAGATAAGGAACTGGATAAAGGGGAGACTACAACAGGTCATACCAAAAGGTGAACTGTCAGGCCTGAGGGAGGTTGCTAATGGAGGTCCTCAGAGATTGGTCTTGGGACCAAACTTAACATTTTAATTCATGACCTTGACACAAAAAGTGGGAGCATGCTAATAAAAATTGAGGATGACACAAATTGGGAGGTATTGCCAATAAGGAGGAGGATTGGAATATAAAACAAGAAGATTTGGATGACCTTGAAACTGGAATAATAGAAATGGGATGAAATGTAATAGTGCAAGGTCATACACACTTAGGGACTAACCACAAGAATTTTTGCTAGAAACTGGGGACGTATCAGTTGGAAGAGACAGAGGAGGAGAAAGACCTGGGTGTACTGGTTGACTACGAGGTGCCAATGTGATGCAGCCTTGAAAAAGGCTAATGCAGTCCTAGGATGCATCAGGCGAGGTATTTCCGGTAGAGATAGGGAAGTGTTATTGCCATTATACAAGGCACTGGTGAGACTTCATTTGGAATAGTATGTGCAATTCTGGTTTTCCATGTTGAAGAAAGATGAATTCAAACTGGAACAGGTGCAGAGAAGGGCTGCTAGGATGATCCGGGGAATTCAAAACCTACCTTATGAGAGGAGACTCAAATAGCCTGGCTTGTTTAGCCTAACCAAACGAAGGCTGAGGGGAGATATGATTGTTCTCTATAAATACATCAGAGGGATAAATACTAGGAGGGAGAGGAGTTATTTAAGTGCCAGTGCCGATATAGGAACAAATAGATATAAACTGGCCATCAACAAGTTTAGGCTTGAAATTAGACAAAGGATTCTAATCACCAGAGGAGTGAAGTTCTGGAACAGCCTTTCAAGGGAAGCAGTGGGGGATAAAAATCCTAACTGGCTTCAAGAGTGAGCTTGATAAATTTATGGAGGGGATGGGATAATGAGACTGCCTTACAATGGCATGTGGCCCATTTGTGACTAAGGGATGTCTACACTACAAAATTAAGTCGAATTTATAGAAGTCGGTTTTTTAGAAATCATTTTTATATAGTCGATTGTGTGTGTCCCCACAAAAAATGCTCTAAGTGCATTAAGTGCATTAACTTGGCGGAGTGCTTCCACAGTACCGAGGCTAGCGTCGACTTCCAGAGTGTTGCACTGTGGGTAGCTATCCCACAGATCCTGCAGTCTCCGCCACCCATTGGAATTCTGGGTTGAGATCCCAATGCCTGATGGGGCAAAACACATTGTCGTGTGTGGTTCTGGGTACATGTCATCAGGCCCTCCCTCCTTCCGTGAAAGCAACGGCAGACAATTGTTTCATGCCTTTTTTCCTGAGTTACCTGTGCAGATGCCATACCATGGCAAGCATGGAATCCGCTCAGCTCACTGTCACCGTATGTCTCCTGGGTGCTGGCAGACGCGGTACTGTATTGCTACACAGCAGCAGCAACCCATTGCCTTGTGGCAGCAGATGATGCAATAGGCCTGAAAACCATCGTCATTGTGTCCGAGGTGCTCCTGGCCGCCTCGGTAAGGTCGGTCAGGAGCGCCTGGGCAGACATGGGCGCAGGGACTAAATTAGGAGTGACTCGACCAGGTCATTCTCTTTAGTCCTGTAGGCAGTCCTATTGTACCATCTTATGGTGACCAGGCCGGAGATGAGGATGGCTAGCAGCCTTATTGCTCCATCTTCTGCTGGGCAGGCAGGAGATGTGGATAGCTTGCAGTCCTACTGCACTGTCTGCTGCCAGCCAAAGATGTAAAAGATAGATGGAGTGGATCAAAAGAAGAAATAGACCAGATTTGTTTTGTATTCATTTGCTCCCCCCTCCCTCTCTCCATGAAATCAATAGCTGACAATCGTTTTGGTGAGGTCTGTCAGGGGCACCTTGAAAACTTTAATGGAGATTCAGTTCTGCCTGAAATACCAGAGGGAGGGATAGCTTAGTGGGTTGAGCATTGGCCTGCTAAACCCAGGGATATGAGTTCAATCCTTGAGGGGGCCATTCTGTGTGACAGTTGTTTTTGTTTCTCCTTGATGTAAAGCCTTTGTTGATTTTAATTCCCTGTAAGCCAATTCAATAGTGCTGCAAGCAATGGTGGATCACAAGGGACATTTCACCAACATCAATGTGGGATGGCCAGGAAAGGTACATGATGCTCGCATCTTCAGGAACTCTGATCTGTTTCAAAAGCTGCAGGAAGGGACTTTATTTCCAGACTAGAAAATAACAGTTGGGGATGTTGAAATGCCTATAGTTATCCTTGGGGAGCAAGCCTACCCCTTAATGCCATGGCTCATGAAGCCATACACAGGCAGCCTGGACAGTAGTCAGGAGCTGTTCAACTACAGGCTGAGCAAGTACAGACTGGTGGTGGAATGTGCATTTGGATGTTTAAAAGCATGCTGGTGCAGTTTACTGACTCAGTTAGACCTCAGTGAAACCAATATTCCCACTGTTATTACTGCTTGCTGTGCGCTCCACAATATCTGTGAGAGTAAGGGGGGAGACGTTTATGGCAGGGTGGGAGGTTGAGGCAAATCACCTGGCTGCTGGTTACGTGCAGCCAGACACCAGGGTGGTTAGAAGAGCACAGGAGGGTGCCGTGCGCATCAGAGAAGCTTTGAAAACCAGTTTCATGACTGGCCAGGCTAAGGTGTTAAAGTTCTGTTTGTTTCTCCTTGATGAAACCCCCCGCTCCTTGGTTCACTCTACTTCCCTGTAAGCTCACCACCCTCCCCTCCTCCCTTCGATCACCACTTGCAGAGGCAATAAAGTCGTTGTTGCTTCACATTCATACATTCTTTATTAATTCATCACACAAATAGGGGGATAACTGCCAAGGTAGCCTGGAAGTGGTGGTAGAGTAGGGAAGGACAAGGCCACACAGCACTTTAAAAGTTCAAAACTTTACAATTTATTGAATGCCAGCCTTCTGTTGCTTGGGCAATCCTCTGGGGTGGAGTGGCTGGGTGGCCGGAGGCCCCCCCACCACGTTCTTGGGTATCTCGGTGAGGAGGCTATGGAACTGGGGAGGAGGGCGGTTGGTTACACAGGGGCTGTAGCGGCGGTCATTGCTCCAACTGCCTTTCCTGCAGCTCAACCATATGCTGGAGCATATTAGTTTGATCCTCCAGCAGCCTCAGCATTGAATCCTGCCTCCTCTCATCATGCTGCCGTCACCTTTCAGCTTCAGCCGTCTCTTCAGCCCGCCACTTACTCTCTTCAGCCTGACACCTCTCCTCCTGGTCATTTTGTGCTTTCCTGCACTCTGACATTGTCTGCCTCCATGCATTTGTCTGTGCTCTGTCAGTGTGGGAGGACAGCATGAGCTCAGAGAACATTTCATCATGAGTGCGTTTTTTTTCACCTTTAATCTTCACTAGCCTCTGGGAAGGAGAAGATCCTGTGATCCTTGAAACACATGCAGCTGGTGGAGAAAAAAAAAGGGACAGTGGTGGTATTTAAAAAGACACATTTTATAGAACAATGGGTACACTCTTTCACGGTAAACCTTGCTGTTAACATTACATACATAGCGCATGTGCTTTCGTTCCAAGGTCACATTTTGCCTCCCCCCACCGCGTGGCTAGCCCCTCAACCCTCCTCCCTCCCCGTGCCTAACAGTAGGGAGCATTTCTGTTCAGCCACAGGCAAACAGCCCAGCAGGAATGGGCACCTCTGAATGTCCCCTTAAGAAAAACACCCTATTTCAACCAGGTGACCATGAATGATATCACTCTCCTGAGGATAACATAGAGAGATAAAGAACGGATGTTGTTTGAATACCAGCAAACATACTCTGCAATGCTTTGTTCTGCAATGATTCCCGACTATGAGCTACTGGCCTGGAGTGGTAAAGTGTCCTACCATGGTGGACGGAATAAGGCTGCCCTCCCCAGAAACCTTTTGCAAAGGCTTTGGGAGTACATCCAGGAGAGCCGTGAATGCCAGGGCAAATTAATCATTAAACATGCTTGCTTTTAAACCATGTATACTATTTTAAAAGGTACACTCACCAGAGGTCCCTTCTCCACCTGGCGGGTCCGGGAGGCAGCCCTGGGTGGGTTCGGGGGGTACTGGCTCCAGGTCCAGGGTGAGAAACAGTTCCTGGCTGTTGGGAAAACTGGTTTCTCTGCTTGCTTGCTGTGAGCTATCTACAACATCATCATCATCATCTTCCTTGTCCCCAAAACCTGCTTCCATGTTGCCTCCATCTCCATTGAAGGAGTCAAACAACACAGCTGGGGTAGTGGTGGCTGAACCCCCTAAAATGACATGCAGCTCATCACAGAAGTGGCATGTTTGGGGCTCTGATGCAGAGTGGCCATTTGCGTCTCTGGTTTTCTGGTAGGCTTGCCTCAGCTCCTTAAGTTTCACGCGGCACTGCTTCGGGTCCCTGTTATGGCCTCTGTCCTTCATGCCCTGGGAGATTTTGACAAATGTTTTGGAATTTCGAAAACTGGAACGGATTCCTCTCCCCATACAACGATCAGATCCCGTACCTCCCGTTTGGTCCATGCTGGAGCTCTTTTGAGATTCTGGGACTCCATTATGGTCACCTCTGCTGATGAGCTCTGCATGGTCACCTCTGCTGATGAGCTCTGCACTCACCTGCAGCTTGTCATGCTGGCCAAACAGGAAATGAGATTCA